AGATGAAACCCTATTACTGATGCTATTCGAGCCGCTTTGATTCATACAACAAAAGTATAACTCCGGATTTTTGAAATTCCTCTTCACTGCTAAGAAATTTTACTTTTTCTAAATCAGGCGCGAAAAAGTCGGAATTGCGCCCGTAATTCTCAATTTTCTTCGCCTGAACTCACTTTTTATGCAATAAAAGTATCATATAAGAGAGATACGGAGTAAGTGTCACAAACCAAGTCGAATGATGTACCTTTTATCCTTACCGACCACTTTTGTTTTTTTCGAAGTTTCACGTAGAAATATCACTGAGATTTTCACCAAAAATGAAAATCAACGAAAACTCTCAAAACATATATCACTCGATTTGGTATGCGACGCTGACTCCGAATGATGTTGATTCAATCGAACATAAAATAGCGTATGAACTTTGAATTACGCGCGCCCTTACCAAAAACTTATGTGCATATTCAGGCAGACTAAACTCCCTTTTCTCTCTCCTTTACTTTGTTTAAAGGCAGAAATTTTCGCGAAACAGCTTCCTTCTTACTCTCCAGAAAGCCCATAGTTGTCATATATCGTACGATTTCTCTTAATTGATTCCTTGTTTTATCTTTACCCCTTTTTTTGATCAGCAAATGGCAATCATTCTACTGTTGATCCAAATGGATGGTCCACAAGATGGATGGTCCACAAGATGGAACGTTCACTGACTGTCTAGAGGTACAGAACTTTTCGAAGTCGAGAATGAAGTAAAATCTCAATGTTGTTTATTTATCATCTTTTATCTTTCATATTTATACTAAATCTAATCAATATACAAAAAATAAAGGAAATAATAATAAAACATAATAATACATTTCCACTTGTAAAATGAAAATAATGTTTATTCGAATAATTAGCTAAATTTTTGAACACTACTAAAATCAGAAAAACAGAATTATTTGAACGACGTTTCAGTCTGTGATCATCAGAAAGTCTTCATGAACTTGTATATAGCTATATATAAATATGCAGGATAACAAATTTCACCGACGACACTTCATTCGTAAATTTACTTCCAGCGGCAGTAATACAGCTCAGACCTTTCATGTCTCTCTGCCTATTCATCTTAGATCGTGAAGCGGTCAACTCCAGTCATTTGTATGGGGCTCCCAAATATAAGATAAAAAGGTGACTCAGTCGATTTTGCTACTTTTTAGAAATTTGACGTAGAATTTCAAAAATGTTGGCAATTATTTATAGATAATCGATTCGATTTCTAGGTTATAGAAACTCAAACTCGAATTTCTAGAATGTAGAAAATCGAGCTCGAATTTTCATATTTTTGGAAATTCCAGAGCGATTTTTTGACTAGACGGAAAATACACTTTATGGAAAATCGAATCGATTTTCTAGAACTGGAAAACTACGACCCATGTACTAAAACTCGCGAAACTGACAATGTTCTGGTGTTTGTCTCAATATAACACTCTTAATCTTTTAAATGTGTGTCATAACACCTTTCATGCAGTTTCTACGCTTTTTCTGGCCCTGAATAAATATTAGCATGAAACCTAAACAAACACATATTAATGCCGTCATTATTAATAAGGTTAAGCAGAACTTACTCTTCACAGAATTCTTCTAAACGATTTTTTAAATTGTTTACTGTTATGACCTGCCGTCCCGGCAGCTCATAAGATTCTGCTCTTGTATCTTCCTTACGCAATCCTTGCTTCATCATGGGATTTTCCTATCTCTTTTGTTTTTACGCAACACTTGTGTCATCCTGTGGTTTTCCTAACTCTTTCTTTCCTTGCGCAACTCTTGCAAAACTCTTCCTCAACTTGTATACTACATATAGCCGTTCACTTTCTTCAAATAGGCGGCAGAGTGGGAGTTGGATCTCACATTTACGTCAGAAAAACACGATAAATGCCATTTCGAGCACTTCTCCATCTAAGAAATTTTAAAACATAAATGGGAGATATGAAAAATGCGTATATCAAAGTATCTGTACAGTAATTGGATCTTTAGTAATTGGGAGAGGAAAAGAGGAAACATTGTCTTTTATATATTTGTTATCGGGTTAAAACCAGATTAGGAGGACACAATATCCTGCTGTTAGTGGCAAACAATTCTTCTTTCTACTTTCTTATGAAACACCTTCTGGACATTGAAATTATGTATTTTCTTTTTCTTCTCTGGTGGAATCTATAAATTTCAGTTAGTAGTATACTTCGAGAAAATTGATGTAGATCTAAAAAGGAACTTTTTCATCTGAATAGAAGAAGAAAAAGACAATAAATTTCTACACAAATATCTAGTTTTGACAACGAAGGAAGATTGAAAGAAAGGAAAACATTTTTAACAGAGTTTCTAAAAGACCTTTCATATGAAAACAGTTAGATACTCAATGATGCCACAGTATTTTCTTCGATGGCTTCTGTTCATCGATCTTGTTTGTTCACAATTCCAGTCGCATATTCACGTTGGCGATTTCGGTACATCATTCGCACCTGCTGATCCAATTGAGTTAATAAATACAATCTCGGTATCATCACAAATCCGTTGTGCACAAACATGTAATGTGAATCCCTTGTATCGGACATTCGATTATGATACATCATCTAAACGATGTCGACTATTTGAAGGTGAAATAACAACTGGTCACGTGAATAGATCAGCAGCTATTCCATCAACGTCAAGAGTTAGTAGTATTGCATATACACAACAACAACATTTTCTTTTAGTGTTAACATCTAGTAAAAGAATATGTACAAAACTACGTTTGTTAAACGTTAATACTTTATTATGTTTTTAATTATGAATTTAATGTTATACTTTTAATTTTCTGTCTGGCTACTG